GGAGGAAACCGCTTCCTGCTGTTTGAATGCCCGTCATTAGCACCATCTCCTTTCTTTACCTCCTTCTCTAATCTCATTCCTTCTGTCTGTTTTTAATTGCCATTTTCTTTTCTTTCTCTGCATACGATTTTACATTCTGTAGAGATTGTGTTTGGATGTATTGATTTCCTCCACAGTTTTGCTCCTGTGACACAGTTTGGTTGGCCTGTTGACACCACAGATTAATCGATGGTGACAGTTCTGTCTACAATACAGACTCTGGCACAAGAAAGGACACAGAAAGTTCACGCTTTGCCATCTGTGGCTAAACTCCTGTGATAACTCGGCCTTGCTGTTTTCCTGTACTCTACTCTACACGACTTAATGACTGATCGTAAGCCGTCCTGCTGTCTTAGTGGTGCATCACTATGTATGCATCATTTGTCAATGTGGAAAAAAAAAAACTTGCCAGACAGCAACAAGGAAAGAAGAAACTGTGAAACTGTATGTAGCCAGGAACACCCACACAGGGAACACCAGCAGCTCCATACAGTTATAAACACTTATTAGAACAAAAAGGATGGCCCTCTGGCACAGGACCTGTTTCTGACCAGTTTACAGAAATGCCTTTCTGGCCACTGCTGCAGAAAATCTTAATGACCCCCAAATTTTGAACAGTAGTGTTCACCAATGATGAGCCAAAACATTATGACCATTATGTTGGTCCTCCATGTGCTGCCAAAACAGCACCGACCCGCCAAGGCATGGGATCTACAAGAGCCCTGTAGATGTCCTGTGTTATCTGGCACCAAGACGGAGCAGGTTGCATGAAGCAGCTTAAGTTTTTCCCTTAAGTATGAGACTTAAAGGGATACTCCACTTTTCTTGGAAATAGGCTCATTTTACCAATCCCCCAGAGTTAAACAGTTGAGTTTTACCGTTTTCAAATGCATTCAGCCATTTTTTTGATATTTAGAAGAATATCAGTAAACAGACTGTTTCTGGCCTCATTGACTTCCGTATATTTTTTTCCTACTATGGAAGTCCATAAAACCAAAAACTGTCTGTTTTCTGATATTCTTCTAAATATCAGAAAATCGACTGAATGGATTTGAAAACAGTAAAACCCAACTGTTTAAATCTGGGGGAGTGGTAAAAAGCCTATTTCAAAAAAAAAGTGGAGTATCCCTTTAAGGAATGATTTCCCCTTACCCAATGGAATGACTTAAGGGTGTTGCATATAATCCCTAAACTGTTCTCTTAGGTATCTTAAGGTATCTCTTAGGTATCTCTTAAGTTTTTCACAACAGCGATTTTGCAGAATAAAATTCTTATTAACAGCATAACAAAGTGGCCGCTCGCTCAGATCTGCCCATTTCTCCTGCGTCCAACACGTTGATTACATGAACTCATTGTTTGCTGACTATCTATTCGCTTCACCTGTGACTGGTCGTTATGTTTTGGAGAAATTATAACTACATTTACATTTATTCGTTTTGCTGACGCTTTTATCCAAAGCAACTTACAATTGCTATATATGTCAAAGGTTGCACGCCTCTGGAGCAACTAGGGGTTAAAGGCCAATTTATACTTCCGCGTAGTTGGTACGGCATTGGTCCCATACCGCGTACCCTTCGCCGTAGCCTGACGCGCACCTCCTCAAAAATGTAGCTACACGTCGTGACGACACGGATCGGTGGTTGGTCGGCTTGGTAGCATCGCATTTCCTCCTACACATTTCCGCAGTACCTTCTCACGCATTTCCACACGTACCATCTCCTCCGATGTCTTCTGTCGTTTCTGCCTTTCAGTTTTAGTAATTTCACTAAAATTAGCTGTTTTTCCACCTCAATAAGCTCCAACTCCAACATGAGCCGCTCTCTTTCAGTGGCTATTGCTTGTAGTAACCTAGCCGCGACTCGAGGAATCTAAACCATAGACAGTAAAAGAAATGGACAAAGCGATCTCATTAGAACTCTATTGAGACGATTGAAGCCCGTTTTTGGCGATTTTTTTTTAGCACTTCCGTCCCTGGCGCGCAGACTCAAATAGAGCTTGACTACGTAATGTGACGAGAGCAACCCGTCTGTCTTCAAGTGGCGGTGGCATGAGAAATCTGAATCATTCCCTTCTGAAACATGCAGAGGCGGAGAGTGTGAATAGGAGCTGTCCATGAGCGAGGAGCAGGAGAAACTTTTGCTAGGTATTCTGATTAATTATTTTGTCATTTTGCCTCTACGTTTCCCCGATTGCGCGCAAGCTTCTTCTCCTGTCCATACGGTAATCTCTCTAATGTGCGACAGAGAGTCGCGTGGGTATGACGCAATCGTTAGCCTACTTTCACTAAAACTGCTTCTGCTGGGCCATATCATAAGCTACAAGGTAATGGAGCATTTTATATATTGTCGTGTTTCTTTAGGAATAAATAAAGGACAAATGGAGTCTTCAAACTCCTCAGATGTAAAATTATTCGCTGTCAAAGTGACGCCAAAATGAATGGGAGTCAATGGGAATGCTAACGCAAGTGAAGTTCTGCTACAAGATGGCAGCTTCCGGTCGATGGATTACCCCCTTGATCTAAACACAGTGGAACATTAAAACCCTCCGCCAGCAGCTAGCGTTTCAGAGCAGTACTGCAGAGCAACCAAGACCTGAACGCAGAAGTATAAATGTTCACAGCGGCGTCGCCTACGTGCGTAGCCAACGCAGTACACTACGGCGTACCCTCGACGCAGAAGTATAAATTGGCCTTAAGTGTCTTGCTCAGGGACACATTGGTGTCTGACAGTGGATTCGAACCCAGGTTTCTCACACCAAAGGCATGTGTCTTATCCACTGTGGGGTGATGGCACCCAACTGCAGAAAACATCCCTTCTATTGAGCCTTGATTGGTTTTTAATAGTGCTGTAGCGGCGCGTCGATGACGTCGATTATTCGACGTCAAAGTTGCGTCGACGTCATATTTTTGCGTCGACGCTTCTTTATTTATTTATTTTTTGCATGTTCCCGGCGGTACAGCTTGCCACACACACGTGGGAGACCGAAACATTTCAGAATAGAGGACGAAGACAACTAGAAGTGAATGTGCTATCCATTAAATGAATCACACACAGTAAACAAACCCTTAAGAAAAGAAAATTGCAATTTAGACGCGCAAACTGGGTGCCGGTGTGGTGAGACGTACAAGCTCGGGCAGATTCGGCTTGAAGTCGCTTCCGGACGCGGCGCCGGGCGCGCTGATACAAAAAAATCGGCGTACACAGCCACAGTCTTCCTGGTCTTGCGCACCCAACGCGTCATTTTTGCCGTGCGCACATTCGCGCTCGTGCGGAGGTGTCGAGTATAAACAAGGCTTTACTCCGTGTCAGCACGCGCTCTAATCAGTAGGTGCACAAACCTCTCCCGATTCATCTCCAGTAGTAGCAGCCTCCGATCGCACCACTAACTCTGCCTCCGTTTCCCTCCTCAGCTGATATTAATATTTAAACATTCTCTATGATAAAAAATGTTTGTAAAAAAAAATATTTTTATAACACGGTTTTGTCGGTTGTAGAGTTATAATGATGGTGTTCAAATACATAACATTAGACTAACGTTAGCCAGCTTATAGTATCTTGATTCAGTATGCCAGTATTTATTTGAGATATTGTTTTTTTTTATTAATTGAGCAGCAGAAAAAATATTCTTTATATTAGTCGTCCAATTAGTCATTAGATTAGTCGACTAATCGATAAAATAATCGCCCAACTAATCGTTTAGTTAATAATCGTTTACCCCAGCCCTAGTTTTTAATCCTGAAATATCATTCACAGCAGTGCATTTACAAAAATACACACTTTTTATGTTTTGGAATAAAACTTTGAACCGGTGCAATATACACAGAAGTGTAAGCTATGTGGATTGTTTTTGCCTTTAGGCTATATCAAGGAAGAGCCAGCTGTTTTCATGTATATTTAGATATGTGGCATGTGTGTCGGTGGTGTTTTGCTTATGACGTTGAGCTGAGGCTTGTGGCGGATCACCGTTTCAGTGAAAGCGGAGCAGCCGCAGTCTTGACTAGCCAAGCGAGAGGCCAGTGCCTATCATGACAAAGGTTAAAGCTTGTGCTTGGGCTTCATTGGCATGACAGATAACGCCACTTCTGCTTTGCCAAACCAGCTGCAGCTTATCAGCAGACAATGAACAATAAAAGATGCATAAATAAAGTTGTCTATATCTACTAGATGGAGATTTAATGAGTGGGAGAGAGACAAGTGTGAAACACAGCTGTTTGTGAGAGGGTGGCTGGCTGTCAGTGTGGTGTGCCATCTCTGGATGTTCATGTGGGTTTAGAGTCACGGCGCAGTGCAGCAGCTCCTCTTCACTCACGTGGCAGCAGCTATCAGCCTCCAAACCCATTATCATAAAACCTACAAACCCTAGAGTATAGTCAAGCCAACTATGGAGATTCTGTCATTTACTCACCTTGATGTCTTTACAAACAGGTGTTTAGCAGAATCTCAGAGTTGCTCTATTACTTAAAAAAAATGACTAAAGAGCTTCTTAAACGTATCATGCAAGTAGTTCATAAGTCTCCTGAAGCTGTGTGTGGAACAAATTCAATGTTAATGTAACTTTCAAAGTCTTTATTCAATGAAAATGCACAGTATTCACACTTTTTCTCCAGCTAGAATGCATTAAATTGATAAAAAAAATTCTGATACAGAACACATTTGTAATGTTACAAAAGATCTCGATTTCAAATGCTGTTTTTATGAACTTTTTTATAAACAGAAAATCCTGAAAAAAAACAATATTGGTTTCTATAAAAATGGATTGCAACTATTTTCAACATTGATAATAATAAGACATATTTTTTAAGCAACAAATCAGCATAATAGAATTATTTCTGAAGGATCATGTGACACTGAAGACTGGCGAAATGATGCTGAAAATTCAGCATTGCATCACAGGAATAAATTACATTTTAAAATATAAAATTTAAAAAAAATTGTAATACTATTTTTTTACTGTATTTTTTTATTTCTTTTTTTCTAAACTTGCAGATATTTTTAGAATGCAAAAAATAGTGGTTTTTACAATAGTTTACAATTTTACAATAAGTCTTCTGAAGTCATAGAATAGCTTTGTTTCAGAAAACGGATCAAAATGTTTAGTCATTATTTTCACACAATCTTCCCCTCTGTTGAAGCTTTGAAATTGCATTCTTTTAGATGACTTGTGTGCTTTTAGATTTGAAAAATGGCGAGGATTGACTTTGTGGTGCCCAATGGCATTGTTTGTGGCCTGTGTGTTGTAAACGGTTGCATTGAAAAAATTTGAATATGCTATTTACAAGAGCTACTGTATTTTCAGCGAATAATTACTATTTCCCTTTCATTGTATTCAGAAGAGCAGCTTGAATATTCTATTTCTCCTTTTGTGTTTTACGGACAAAAGGAAGTCGTTCACATTTGAAACAACATGAGGATTTAACACACATAAATGGGTTCAACATAAACGGGGACATTTGAAGGCAATAGATGAGTTGAGCAGCAGGGCAAAGCTTTTCTTTGAAGTCAAAATAGAGCAAAGGCTAAAAATAGAGACTCCTTGGCTCTTTTTTTTTCTCAAACATTCATTTTAGTGGAACATTCACAGATCGGAAGATTTTCCCCTCACTCTTGTCGTTCACAGATTAAAGTCTTTCTTTTCTCAACATGAGCCAGATCTCCATGAAATCTGTTTGTTTGCTTTTTCCAAAAAGGGATTTTATCTTACCATAGTTTTCGTTTAGCAGTGTGGAAGAAAACACTTCATGCAAACCATGCTTGCCTCCAGAAGTTCATTGTTTTGCCGTCACGCTGTTCAGTAGGACACGTGTGACTCATCACTGCTGAGATGCGTGGGCCAATCGGATTGCAGATTTCCCCTCTGCATATTGGCAGCCAATGTCAGACGATGTGTTGTATGTTGCATGATTTTCCTCAAGGTTGTCTGTGTTTGACAGATTTCTGACCTACAGGAAGGACCGTCCACAAGCCCACACACTGCCATGTGTATATGTCCTCAGTTATTAAAGTTTGCATCCTTGGTCCACTAATAGCTTGATGTCCTGTTGTTAAATTTTTTTCCTATCCAAGGTCATAGCCTGGAAAAGGAAGTGGATTTTAGGAGCAAAAAATGATTACAGTATTGTCAGCGATAAATATTTAAAAAGGCTTCTCTCACATTTGAAGAAATGTTGTAAGTTTTAAGATGACGGTTGTGTACTTCCATGTAGGCCTAACAAAACCAGTGCTTGTGTGAGGAATATGATATTCTGTTAATGTCTTGAGATCGCTTTCCGTGGTGTTGATGACAACCCAGAAACCTTTTTATGATGCCATTTGTGGGCGCAAATCAGCTGTCTTCCTAAAATCAATGGCATTTTTCTTACAGAAATGAATCCTTAACCACATTTCTTGATTTCTCTCTCTCTCTCTGCAGGGGTGTGTGGTTGTTGTGGGGCGCTGAGGCCACGCTACAAGAGACTGGTGGACAACATCTTTCCTGAAGACCCAGAGGTTAGGACATTTTCAATCTCTCTCTCTCTCCCTCTCCTTTTACATGGTCATTTACACTATCGTAATCGCACTTTGAGTCTATTTACTGTCAAACAGCTCTTGTTCGCCTCTCAAACCACCTATTTACAATTGCATTGATGCTCTTGGCAGATGCTTGCTTCCCGGGACCACTTAAAATAAAGTGTGTAAGAGGCAATTAGTGTGTCAGAGGCAATTACCTAAGCAGGTGTCCGAGGATACGAGCCAGGAGCGGATCCACTCGCAGTCTTTGCTGAGGCAGAGATCAACACCAGTTTGTGTTATTTGCTGAGATATCTGAAACATTACAATACTGGTCTTCCAGTTACCGAACAACTACCACGAGTAACATTAATCTATAGACCATTTCACAAGATGTAAACAAGACTGGTCCAGAAACACTTCCTGTTTCAGTTTGTAACTGTTTTCTTTATTTCACATGTAAAGAAAACATCTTAAAGATGTTTGTTTAACTTTTTGATTCAGTTTTAAATGTTCTGTTGGTTGTATTTTATCCCATCTTTTATGTAGTGTTAAAAAACTGAAATAGGAAGTGCTTCTGGACCAGTGTTGTTTACATCTTGTGAAATGGTCTATAGCACCAAAAACTGTCCATAGAAATAGATGAATAGATGAAGTACTTTCCACATCTCCATATGCTAAATTATTTTTTCTCCCTGAAGTTTGGATTAAGTGGTTGACTCAACTAGTCAGTTAGGTCATTTACACGGTTATCTACAATGTTTTAGCTTTAATATTTCATATTTATAGCAGCAATGCAAATGAGTAGGGGAAACAATGGGTAGATGAGTTGAGATGACTTCTAACAGACTGTCAACTCACTAAAACAATTTTAGAAACGAAAAAATGTCTAAATTCATCACGCTCAAAAGCACAAGACAATAACTGTCGCTACCTTAGGTCACCTTCTGTGACTGTGAGCAATGTTCCCATTACTATGCAGAATCTGTAAGTCTTCTTTTGTGATAAGTTTGTGCAATTATTGATTTAAATATGTGTCTTTTGTCCTGTTAAAGTGTGTTCTTGCATAATTTCTGTCTGCTCTATTTTGAATGCAAATATGCTTCCCATGTAGGGATACGCAATATTATGGTACCATATTAATTACTGGCTGATATTAGGGGGACTGATACATGTGTCAATACATGTTTATATGAATGTTTATTTATGCATGCTCATTTTCCCTTTTTTTAATTTTTTAAAAGACTAATAAATGCTAATACTAGGGCTGCCAAACGATTAATCGCGATTAATCGCATCCAAAATAAAAGTTTGTGTTTACATAATATATGTTGGTGCACTTTGTATAATTATTTTGTACATATATAAATACACACACATGCATGTAAAGTTAAGAAAAAAATATTATTTATATATAAAATATTTATATTTATATATAATATAAATTATGTATAAATCTACAATATATACATGAAAATATTTCTTAAATATATACAAGCATGTGTGTGTGTATTTATATATATAAAATAATTATACAAATTGCACCAACATATATTATGTAAACACAAACTTTTATTTTGGATGCGATTAATCGTTTGACAGCCCTAGCTAATATTAATAATGCTGCTAAATGCCATCACAGGAATAGATTTTAAAAAATTCAAATAGAAAACAGTATTTCACAATATTAATTTTTACTGTATTATCAAAAACATTCAATCTTAGTAACCCCAAACTTGTGAACGATGCATTTTATTTTACAGTTTCTCAAAGGTTTTTCTATATGCTCTAAAGATTGAAACAAAACTAGATATTTAATTCTTACCTTATTCCACGTCTGTTGTGATTATTGATTATGTGTGTGTTTGTAGGATGGGTTGGTAAAGGCTAACATGGAGAAGCTGACTTTTTACGCCCTATCAGCTCCTGAGAAGTTGGATCGGATCGGGGCGTACCTGTCTGAGAGACTGTCCCGTGATGTGGCTAGACACCGTTATGGGTAATGAAATTTATTTGCCTGATCTGAGACATCCTGTCTTTTACTTTCTCCTGTTCCTCCTCCTCCTATTCAGTGTGTGTTTTGTCTCATCAGGTACGTGTGTATTGCGATGGAAGCCCTCGACCAGCTGCTAATGGCCTGCCACTGTCAGAGTATCAACCTGTTTGTGGAAAGTTTCCTGAAGATGGTGCGAAAACTCCTGGAGGCTGACAAGCCCAACCTGCAAATCCTGGGAACAAATTCAGTATGTACACACTGTTGTATGGTTGTTCACTGACACAAAGGGTAAAGCACTGAACTTCAGTCCATTACTCTTCATGAGTGCAATTTCCATAAAATGTTTGTTTTACAAAATCATATGTTTGCCGATAAACATTGCAGATGAGCCACGAACACACACACACTGCAGTGCATCCATCTAAATACAATAAAGAAAATCATACTCAATTCTAGATCAAAATAAGTAATCTATGGCATTGAACACGCACCCACATACAACATAAAACGCAGTGCTTAAACTCAATGTGACTAACCCATTTCAGTGTATTCTGTGTCACCCCTTAACCACCTCGGCTACTGCACACTGCAGGTATCAGTCACATGTAAAAGCCGTTTTTAAACTCGT